GCCCCTCTCCCCCTCCTCTCACCCTCTTTCTCTCTGGTCTGTGTTGATTATGGCGAGAAGCGATTTTTATTTCTCTGTTTCATCTGATTTTGTTCCTTTATCTTTTTTTTTCTTTTTAGTTGAAAAAGCAATGTAGCGAATACTCATACTTTTTTCTAACTTTCCGTGTTCTTTTTTTTCTTACCAGGTCTTTTCCTGACTTCGCTGAAACAAGTGTTTTTCGATTCACAAATTCAGTCTTCAAACGAAACTTGGCCACTGTGGTAGAGAGATTGACGAGCCAGTCTTGACGTGTCAGGGGCTCATTGAAATAAAACGGAGGCGGAAGCGGAAATACAGCAGCTGTGTTTCTTCAAAGTCGGAGCTCTTCAACGTCAGAGTCAACAACCGCTGTCTGAGAGGGACAGTAGGGGAAAGTTATATAATTCTCTGGTTGGCCTATATCTGCGGACAAAGGTCGCTGGCGTGCATTTAGATACACACACACACAAACACGTGAGCACTTACAGACACACACATACACACACACACAAACACACAAGTGGACGAGAAAAAACGTACATAGAGGTATCGTATTGCCATGCAGGCATAGACCACACACCGACATTTGACACATCAAATAGAGACAAGTTCCTCTCAGTGAGAACTAATTCTTCTACGAGGGAATACAATGTATGCCGTTTGCTAAGACAATTTACACTCGATTTTACGCGCTCCTTCAGGGAATTCTCAGCAACGGCCTGTCTCGATACGTAATATATAAATAGTATCATCAACAACAAAAACGAGATAGAAACCTCAAATCAGCGGTAACTTGAGTAAAACAAACTGATTATTAGAATCATAATATTGGTCTCATTATTGAAAGCAATAAGACAGGAATACTTGTACATTTTGTCTACTGTTGTGTTGAGACTGTCCCCGGATCTAAATACATTGTTTCTCGCTGAAAAACTGTTGGCTCCTTATTGTTGTTTGGTGGTTTTTGCGTGATTCTGGACTACCCTGCAACATTTCCGGAAATACTGACAACTCAAGAGTGATATCTTCATCCACTAGCCACTCGGCTTGCTTGAGAACCCGAACGCGTTGTCAAGACCAGTGCAGTTATATTGATAGCTAATTAGTATGCAGGCCGCTAAGATGGCTGTAATAGTGCAAAGTGCTATTTTCGTGATGACGTCATTGATTCTTGTGTTCGTGGCGGGAAAAGAACGACAACAGCC